TGTGTGTGTGTGTGTGTGGGTGTGTGTGTGTGTGTGTGTGTGTGTGTGTGTGTGTGTGTGTGTGGTGGACAGGGTATTCCTCCCCTCTTCCATTCTCTTCCATTCTCTCTGCCCTGTTTCAACATTCTCAACTTCTCCATCCCACACTCATCTGGGAGAAAATAGCACAATTATATACATTTTCCGTTTGAAATCAGGAATTCTTGTAAATTTTAAGGGCCGCCCTTTGACAACAAAGTCTATCCAGTCGTCTGGAGCTGAATATAGAAGAGGGGGTGTGGAGATGGGATTAGTAGAACATTGTTATAAATATTTTAAACAATTCTGAATTATCCATGAATAGGTAACCCGTGACTTTTTAAAATCTCAGTCAACTAATTCCAAGCTATGTGTCGCCAATCTACTTATCCATCCCCTTGGTTGAAAGAGAAGTCTGTAGAATAAACCATGAGGCACACTATTTACATATAAATCAGTCCTTATGACCAGGTAAGTTGCGTTTGGTCTCCCCCTGATAATGGAACTTGGTATTTATCCCATGCTTGGATATCAAAAGACAGGCGAAGCCATCCTAGTTGTGAATGTAGGAACTCAGGCCCTGGGAGGGGGGAACCACTTGGTCTCAGTCACATGGTTAGGAAGTAGTGGTGAAGAAGAGAACCCAGGGCTAGCTTTACTCTACTTTTTACTGGATGAACAGTGATCATATGTTACTAATTTGGCTGAGGTGTGTGCGTGTGTCTGAGAAAGTTTTAGATTGAACATATTTAATGAGTATATATGTATACTGAGCCCCTGGGTGGCATAAGCAGTTTGCAGTCAACTACTAATCAAAAGGTTAGTGGTTCAAACCCACCCAGTGACACCATGGAAGAAAGTCCTGGCAATCTGCTTTGCGTAAAGATTACAGCCAAAATCGACTTGATGGGGAATCAACTCCACTACAATGAGTTTGGTTGGTTTGGTTAGAGGTATAATAAATGCACATATGAATAGATATAGAATGATGGTCTGAATTTACGTGAACATATGGTCTTTGGTATCTTTTAGAGGCTTCTTTTGTTGTTACTTTCTTCCCTTCTTATGCTCACTTTAGTTCCCTTATACCCACCCCTTTGTAGGCCTGGACCTTCTCTTTCTTATGGAAAAAGTTAATTGTTTCTCACTCCCTCTAGGTCAGACTTCCCAACTATCTGAACTATCCTTGGAACTGTGCTGGAAGGGCCTTTGGTTTGTGTCTTAGTCATCTAGTGCTGCTATAACAGAAATACCACAAGTGGGTGGCTTTAACAAAGAGAAATTTATTCTCTCACAGTCCAGTAGGCTACAAGTCCAAATTCAGGGCAAGGCTGAATTTTCCCTCCAGGGAAAGGCTTTCTCTGTCGGCTCTGGAGGAAGGCCCATGTCATCAATCTTCCCTTGGTCTGAGAGCGTCTCTGCACAGGAACCTCAGGTCCAAAGGACGGGCTCTGCTCCCGGCACTGCTTTCTTGGTGGTATGAGGTCCCCGTGTCTCTCTGCTCGCTTCTCTCTTTCATATCTCAAAAGAGATTGGCTTAAGACACTATCTAATCTTGTAGTCCTCATCAGTATAACTGCCGCTAATCCATTTTATTTAGAATATACAACACGTAGGGAAATCACATCAGATTACAAAATGGTGACAATCCTATAATACGGGGAATCATGACCTAGCCAAGTTGACAGATATTTTTGGGGGACACAATTCAATCCATGACAGTTTGGTATATTTTTCTTTTATTTTGAGGCTTCTGAAAACATCATGGTACTCCCATCCACCTCTAAAAATAGCTCTAGAGTGTTCTAATGTCTAGAATTAAAGACATATTTAGATCAGTGGGAAATTCATGCTCACAGGATGCCAAAAATTCCTCTTTTGAATCGAGTTTGATATTAAAGTGTGTGTGTGTGTGTCTGTGTTTTGAACTTTGAAGATATATGAGGACATGCATGTGTGTGTATGTCTTTGTTGTGAATTATGAATAATACAGAAATATTCGTGTGTGTGTATGTGTGTGAGTAGATATATGGATATAAGCTTACTTGATGTATGTAGGGCATTAGAAAACAATTCTACTGATCATACATTCATCCTGTAAAAGGACAGAGGTTCCACAATGATGCATACTTTTATGTAATCATAGTTTGCTATGGTCTCTTTCTATTTCTTTCTGAGTCATTTATATCACAATTTTCTTAGCTCTTGCTGCATATGCATATGTGTAACTAAGGACTATTTTTTTGAACATTAAGAGTAAACAGTAAAGGATTACTCGGGAAATCATGAGTAATTATCATTACTAATATTCCATTAGTAACACTGATTAGATGGTCTAAAGACTGAAGGTATTATTTCAGAATCACACAAATTTTTCTCTCCAGAGAAAAGTGTTTTACATTGCTGTTGCTGGAGAAAATAATTTCTATTTGTTTTTAAGGCACTTAAGACAATCAAGTCTTATGAATCTTTCTAGAAGAGACTCCCAAGGAGAATGTGAATGCTGTTCCATCAGTAGTTGGCATTTTCCATCCATAGAGCATGCTGTGTATTTCTTTGAACTATTGACTGGTTTTCCAATGAAATACTAACAAAGTATGATACATCTTAAGATGCTGTTTTCAAGACTCCAAATAAACGAGAATGGCAGTGGGAAACATGTAATGATCGTAATAGCACATCATATTCTCATGATCATTTGTACTCACCAAGGCTTTAACATCTTTGGTCTGATTTCATCGTCACAACCATACTTAAAGAAGACTGAGATCATTATCAGCAACTATTTCCCCCCTAATGCTGCTTTTCCTGGAGAAAACATCAACAAAACGGAGACTTACCCTCCCTAAAACAGGTGTTTAAAAATGAATTCTCACAAATTGAAATAAAGCTCTCTACTTTTTTGGAAATAATAATACGATAGTGAATGATCAAGAAATTGGAAAGATTTTTTAAAAATGTGTAGGAGGCTTGGTTTTTGTTAGGGAAAGCCTAAATTTTCCTAAATGTGTAAGAATGTGTATTTATGCCATGTGGTTCACATCTGTCTCTTCTGCAGGAAGAGAAGCAATAGCAGCCACAGAGAAGTAGTGGGAATCCCTATGAGAGGTTTAACGAGGAGTCACATGGAAGGAACTCGTACAGTGGCCTTGCCAATGAAGCTCAGTTCTGTCCTCCAGGGACAACTCTAATGTAGCTCCTTGTGTTTAGCCCCGGCTTCCACTACGGAGATAGGCTACAAGGCTGTCAGCAGTTCCAGTATTAGATAGTTGTATTTACGGGGCTGCTTCAATAGCAAATAATCCACTTATATGAAATGTAGAAAATAACAAAACCATTGATCTCCAGCCAATATGCCACTTGAAAAGCATGGTGGTAGCGATTCAGTTTGTCACCCATATCTCACATATTACAATTATTAAAGCATACGAACTGTAGCTTAGACGTAGCGTGTGTTCTTAAGATGGTCAGGCAGCATTTCGATTTTCAATTTCTTTGAGCATTTGTTTAGTTGTTCTCCTAATGAGTACTTGTTCCTCGCCTAAAAGATGTGTTGACAATTCATAAATTCTGTCTTTCAAAATGAGAATGATTGATGGCTCTCAGGTGAATAACATGTTCCAACTGCCAAGATTTATTTTTCTTGCCACACTTGAAAACCAGGGAAACACACTACAGCAGATCGTTTCTGCTTTTACGTGGAGACTATTTTTCCACTCTCTTTTTTCTTTCCTAAATAATTCCTATTTAAGCAATTTATTGATTTATTTTTTACTCTTACATGATTTTAAAGAAAATCAAATAAGAATATTGTATTACAGGGTATAGGTTTTCTGACATAAAATTATTTGAATCAAAGAGATAAGAAAACATATAGAAAAACTGAGCTGATTATTTATCACTGAACACAAATTGCAGTCCATAAGATGAACAATCCCAAATCAGGAAGGCAAACTGTCATTTTTTAGATATTATATCCTCTTTTAACCATCTGTTAGGATTACTATTTGCTGTTCTTAACATTTTCTTTAACTATTCTAAAACTTTAATAAAGTAGAAGTCTTGAAGTAGCCGTACGTTATGCAATTTTATCCCATATTTTGCTTATATGTGATGCATCAATTAATAAACTCTTAAAATAATTTCTTTTCTGAGCAGTCCAGGTATTGGTATCATCTACTTAAACCTAGCTTCTTGCCATAACTAGGCTCCTTAAGTAATTATAATTTAAATCACTACCATCTTTCATGGGAAGGTTTGTTTTAGCTTGCAAAAAGCATGCATAGAACTTGAATATAATTTATAACTAAAGCAAGCTTACTGTTTGCTAAGTGGAAATTTTGTCTGCCGATCCTTCCTTCCCTTTCCTCCTACCCTTCAAATGACAAATGCAACTTAACGTTTACCGAGTGTCCACTTTATGTCATAAGAATTGACACACACTGAAAAACAATTGAAAAGAAATAATTATGGGAAATTTGCTGATGGTGGTTTCAGGTGCTATGAATATGGAGTCCCTGGGTGGAGCAAATGGTTAAGTGCTTGACTACTAACCAAAACGTTGGTGGTTCGAACTCACTCAGAGGTGCCTTGGAAGAAAGGCCTGGCAGTCTGCTTCTGAAAGGTCACAGCCATGAAAATC